ATGGGTTCAAACGACCATAGACAAAGTTTTGTACGTGCCGGAATTAAAAACAAACCTTTTCTCTGTCAACTGTGCGTCGGACAAAGGTTATGTCATGTTGACAGATGGAAGGAACTGCAAATTTTATAAAAACAACCGGGTTTGCGCTGTTGCGAATCGAGTTGGAAGTTCGTATTACTTGGAATTGCGATACAAAAATACAGTGGCTAATGTTGCTAAGACTGTGAAAAGTACATTGCAAGAGTGGCACGAAAGATTAGCGCATCAAAACTTTGATCATGTCAAAAAGGTACTTCAGAAAAATAACATTAACGTAGAACAAACTTCAGTTGCAAAATGTGAAAGTTGTTTGGAAGGGAAAATGCATCGATTGCCATTCGGACACAGCGAGAGTGTTACTACGAAAACATGTGAATTAATTCATGCGGACACTTGCGGCCCTATGGAGGTTATTTCAACTGGCGGTTCAAGATACTTTGTATTATTCAAAGATGATTTCTCAAACTATAGATCGGTTTATTTTGTCAAGAATAAATTCGATATAAAGAATACGATTGAAGATTTTATCAAGAAGGCAGAAAATGTGACGGGAAATAAAGTGAAAGTTTTCAGGAGTGATAATGGCTTAGAGTTTGTGAATAAAGAAGTCAGAGAATTATTAATTAAATGTGGGGTATTGCATGAAACAACTGTCCCCTACACCCCTGAACAGAATGGGAAAGCAGAGAGGGAAAATAGGACGCTGGTAGAAGCAGCTAGGACTATGTTGAGTGCCTGCAAGAGTTTGCCGAAGTCTCTGTGGTCTGAGGCCATACACACAGCAGCCTTTGTTCTGAACAGGACCGGGAGTAGTAGAGATGGTGAAAATACCCCATATGAGGCATGGTTTGGAAGAAGCTATGACATTCAACAATTGAAACCTCTTGGTACCCCAGTATTTGCACACATTCCGAAAGAAAAGCGGAAGAAGTGGGATAGCAAAGGAGAGAAAGGTGTAATGGTTGGATATGGAGATACTGTCAAAGGCTTTCGGATATATTTCCCACAAAGAAATGATGTAGAAATAAAGAGGGATATAGTTTTCTTGGAAAAGGAGCATTATGACAATGAAAGCGGAATAAAATTGAACTGCATTAAAGAAAATCAAGACACCAATATGAACGAGTCGCATGATGAAGAGTTGGTGAAGGATGAGGAGGAGGTAACCGCATCAGAAACATCCTATGACACGACATTGGGGCCAGACGTGTCTGGAAGCGATTATAACCCATCCAGTGATGAAGAGGACTGTTCATTAGAGCCACTTAATATGTCTCAGATACCAAAAAGGGAACTCAGTAAGCGGGTAAGAAAACCACCTGTGTTTTATTATTGTCAGAATGCTTATACTTTAAATAGTGAACCAGTTACCTACAGAGAGGCCATGATGAGAAGTGACAGCAGTAAATGGAAGGAAGCAATTGACAGAGAGCTGCAGACATTAAAAGAAAATAATACGTGGGAAATTTGTGATGTACCAGAAAATGAAAAAGTTGTAAGTAGTAAGTGGGTTTTTAAAATTAAAGGTAATCAGTATAAAGCCCGATTAGTGGCCAGGGGTTTCGAACAAGACAGTACTTTAGATATAAATGATTTTTATGCACCTGTTGCAAAATTGTCAACTCTTAGACTTTTTGTGGTAATAGCAACTAAACTGAACTTACCTATTGTACAAATGGACGTAACAGGAGCATTCTTATATGGAGACATAAATGAAAATGTATATGTTAGTCTAGCAGAAGGTGTCTATTCAAGTAGTAACAATATTGTAAAGCTAAATAAATCACTTTACGGGCTCAAAAGCTCACCAAAGTGCTGGAATAATAAATTCAGTGCTGTCATGTTCAAAGAAGGTTTTATTAAATCAAGCTCTGACTCTTGTCTCTATACAAAGTGTAATGATAATGATCAAATGTATGTTTTATTATATGTCGATGACCTTTTGATCTTTGGCAAAAATAGTAGTTTAATAACACAGCTGAAAAATTTACTAAATCATGAATTTAAAATGAAAGACTTAGGATTTGTAAATGATTTCTTAGGCATAAATATAAAACAAAATGTTGAGAAAGGTGTCACTGAAATGAGTCAAAGAAAATACTTGGAAAATGTCCTTCAAAGATTTGATATGGGAAACTGTAAACCCATGTCTACCCCAATTGATAAGAATTTTAATGTAAAAACTCTTGAAAATAAAAGCAAACCAGACAAAAATACTGAAAAATTGTGTAGACAAATTATAGGGTCTCTCATGTATGCTGTATCTGGCACCAGGCCTGATTTATGCTTTGCTGTATCTTTATTAAGTAGGTACCAGCAGTGTGCTAACAATATGTTGTTATCAGCATTAAAAAGAGTTTTACGTTATGTCAAACATACTTTGGAATATAAATTAGTATACAAATGTAAAGATAATGTATTGGAGGGGTATTGTGATGCCGATTGGGGGGGGGGGGGATCTCAAAGATAGGAGATCAACAACAGGCTATTTATTTAAATTTTCTAATTGCTTAATTTCATGGAGTTCAAAGAAACAAGTGTCTGTGAGTTTATCTTCTACCGAATCTGAATATGTTGCAGTCAGTATGGCAGCCAGTGAAGCTTGCTGGCTAATTAATTTGTTAAAAGATTTTAAAATAAATAAAGTATGTCCTGTACATATTTATTGTGATAACCAGTCTGCCATATCTGTTGCCTGCACTGATACTGTTAAGCGTTTGAAACATATTGATATTCGGTATCATTTTATAAAAGAATTAGTTAAGAGCAATAAGATATGTTTAAAATATGTTAAAACAAGTGATCAACCAGCAGCCATGCTCACAAAATCTTTAAATAGGGAATTGATAACTCGCTTTTTGGAAAAATGTGGTATGGGTAACATAGAAAAGTTGTAAAACTGTGTTTAGCTATTAAGATTGTTTTTGGTGTAATTACATTGAGAGGGGGTGTTAGAATATGACAATGTAATTATACAATTTATTATCTATGATCTTGAGGTGTGGCAACACTGCATCGCTCCCTAGCATTATATACCTTACTGTACTTCTCGGTTTATAAAAGTTCCCATAAAGAATAAAAAACGTTTTGCTAATTAAAACTGTGTTCTTTATTTAATCACATCAAGAAATCAACCACACATGCTATTTACAAAGTCCTGAAAGAAGTATGGAAATCATTAAATAATAAAATTCCGTGTATTGAACTATTCCTAGATATGTCCAGGGCATTTGACTGCGTTTGTCATGATACCTTGCTTCGTAAATTGGAGAACTTAGGCGTGCGTGGCCTGGCCCTAAAACTAATAGAAAGTTATTTGAAAGAAAGAGAACAGTTTACAGTGGTAGATTCATATAACAAAAATAGTAAAATATTTGAGGAAGTAAAATCGGAAACAAAAAAGGTAAAAGTTGGTTTACCCCAAGGAAGTATTCTTGGACCACTTCTATTTTTAGTTTATGTTAATGAACTACCAGACATTATTAACAATTTATGCGTTATGTTTGCTAATGATGCAACAATTTTCATTCCAGACTTATATAATAATAAGACTCTTTTTGAAAATCATATTAATAAAACACTGGAAATAATCGTAAACTGGCTCAAATCTGTAAATCTTAGTGTAAATTTAACTAAAACAAATTTTATTCAATTCAGAAACTACAAAACATTGTCTTATAAATTACAAATTTCACAAAACAATACAAAAGTAACAGAAGTTGACGAAATTAATTTTCTTGGCGTCACTATTGATTCTCACTTAAACTGGAAAGACCATATTCAAAAAATACACAAAAAAATATGTAGTCATTGTTATGCACTCTCTATACTTACTGAAACAACATCAGTAGATGTAGCCAGAGCCGCTTATTTCGGACAAGTTTACCCGCTGTTGACTTATGGTGTGATGTTCTGGGGTAATTCAGTGAACGTTCAATCCATTTTCCTATTGCAAAAACGTTGTTTACGCATAATATATAATATGTATTCAGATGAAACGTTACGAAATGTTTTTAAGGATAAGGGCTATCTCACTTTGACCAATATTTATATATTACAATCAGCAATTTTTATTAAACAAAATCCAGAATACTTTGAAAATAAAATCACATTACGTCCGAATACGCGTAGTAATTATAAATATGATATATGCATACCTAGGATAAATAATCACTTGTATTATAATAGCGCTTTCAATACTAGTATAAGGATCTTCAATCATTTGCCTGCAGAAATTAAAGCACACAATTTGCCACAGTTTAAATTTAAGTTAAAAAGCTGGTTATTAAATAATGTTTTTTATAATCTTGATGAATATTATACTTGTAAAACTTAATATAATTTAGGCTCTAAAATGTACTTTTTAAATTAAGATAGTTTTAAGTTATAAATTTTACCATTGCATGCCCGTTGTGGGCACACTGTTGTGACTTTGTTATTATTGCAATTCCAACTGCAAAATTGTACACAGTTTTTTAAGCAATAAAGTTATTATTATTATTATTATCATAACTTTTCTGCTAGTCCTAAGCCTAGAAGAATTTAAAGTATGAAGGAAAATCGCGCAAATCTACGAGTATTCTTGCTTCCTACAATTAATTGTTTGTGATTGTCGTTAGCTAATAAAACCAAATCTTAACACAAGCTAGTGAATTGGCTAAGTTAGGCACATCTGAAATCGGATATCTAAAAACGGATTTTGAAATCTGAAATCAGATATATATTTTTTGGTAATATATTAAAATATTGGCATTTGAATATATTGGAATGGTAAATAAAAATTAAAAAAAGATTAGATTCAAATAATACGTTTTCGATATACACAGTGCTGAAATTTAATGATAATCCCTTTTAAAGCCTTTTAACTTACAATTGTCTCATGGTTTTAAATTCTCTAATTAAATAACTCGCGCGTCGAGTCAGGCTCACATTCACATTCTCTAATTAAATAATGGTGGCAGGTATCTCGACGCTGTCCGGGTGCGGGTCGCCGGACGCGGTGGACCGGCTGCCGGAGTTGCCGGCGGCGGAGGAGCGGCGGCTGCGGCGCGCCGCGCACGTGCTGCAGCAGCGGCTGGTGCTGCGCCAGTGGCTCGCCACGCATCGCCTGCAGCACGCGTACTCCAAGTGAGCGCTCATCCTTCCTACTTACTATTACGAGACGAATTCCGTAGCTCGACTGGTATGTAAGCCGATTTTGAAGGTTTCGCTTGCTCAGAGGTCCTGGGTTCGAATCCCGGTGGGGCAAAAGTTTGTGTGATGAACTCGAGCATTTATACTTTTTTTTTAATGCAATATAGTCAATGCGTTTGACCACAATCTTACCTGATGGAAAGCGATGAGAGGCCTAGGATGGTACACGCCTGCTTAGAAGATGCCTGTTCACTCTGGCCTTGAAGATGTCCAGATTATATTGGTCCGGGAAAACAGACCTCGGCAAGGAGTTCCACTACCTAGCCGTTCGTATAATGACTTAAGTCAAGAATGTTTATATATTGCTAGCAAAGTGACGCAACGCACTTATCGGAGCAGCCTAGGAGCGCCCAAAGGAAGATTGTATTCACACGTAGAATCTCCTTTTGCAAGTAGTTCGCTCGACAAATCTGTTGGGAGTTGATGGTACTTTCATGGGATAGTACGGGTGGACACCCATGCGGGGTGATGCTCATATTTGTCTCTCTCATTGTGTCCTGGTGTTCCGCTCTCCGCAAAGGATATAATATTGTGTATAGCTAATGAGAATACTGAATGCTAAGCTTAGAGACAAGATAGTAATTATGACCTACTTCAGCGCGTCCCCTTTAGTAGTCCCATTTTATTTCTTTAGTCGTCTGAGTGATATTACCTTGGGTGGTACAATTCCACAAATTTGTGTCCTTAATGACACATGCTGCCAAATCATCTAGGTGACCCAAATATACAATCCGTCTATTCACTAGATTATATTATTCACCGAGCCAGTAGCTTGGCTTTTAGCACTAAGCGAGTTTTTTATTTTCTATGGCTTAAGCGCAAATAAATATAAATTGTTGCAATGAATCAAATAGCTTGTGTCACTAGGGAGTGTCACTTCATGTTGAAATACATTGAATTTTAGGGTAAATTCGTTAAATATCTAACATGTTATCCCCATCCAACAAATAATATTTTTTTATTGTTTCATTTAATATTGTTTGATTTGATTTTGTATTTATTGATGTATTAGTTAATACGTTAATACTCCCTTCTAGGGAGTTCAATTTTTTAATGTTTAATGTTGTTTACCAATTCTGTCCCATCTACCTATATATATAAAACTCAAAGGTGACTGACTGACATAGTGATCTATCAACGCACAGCCTAAACTACTGGACGGATCGGGCTGAAATTTGGCATGCAGGTAGATGTTATGACGTAGGCATCCGCTAAGAAAGGATTTTGATCAATTCTACCCCCAAGGGGATAAAATAGGGAATGAAAGTTTGTATGAAACTTTGTCAATTTTAAATCGATCGGGCTGAGACTTTGCATGCAGGTATAAAAAGAATCATAGATGAATGTTATTGTGTATAATGCAAGCCTGAGAATAAAAACTGTAGTCTACACCGAAGCGAAGCGAGGGCGGGCCGCTAGTATAAAATATGCGTGAATAGCTGTTGGTGTACCTATAATAATAAATAAGTAAAATAAAATGTTTTCATCCTCCTACGACGGGAGCTTTCGCAACCATGCTCACTGAGAAATTTTACGAGTTCTGCATGATTTGCTCACGCTCTCTGACAAGCATTTGAGTTTTTATTTTTGTAGTAGCATCATCATAAAAGGGTTCCGCTTTAATGAAGGTCATCATGAAATATGCAACCTAATTTAAACGGAGGAGTTATAAAAAATAATGTCAAAAACACAAACTGGGGTTTCAACGCTCTCCCTCTCTATATTGCGAAGTTGAGCGATTCCATATTCATTGCGTTTGCCCCCCGACGCGGTCATAACGGCCACATTCAAAATTTAATTTGATTAGCTAACTCCAGTGTTGCAGATGTAAGAACTCAAAATTTCAATCTGCCAGTTATGTTATGCTTATTTGCAAAGGATTCCTTCGTTCCTGTTATGAATAGGAGTAAATAGATTTCTTGCATAACAATATTGCCGTTAGAGTTTATGCCACTCATCAATCAATCAATCATTTATTTATTTTTCTCTCTCATGAAAATAAAGTTCATTGTGGTATACCACTTGTGGTTTACAATATGTTATAGTATTGTGAGAGGCTGGTGCCTGAATTAGGTTTCAGTGAAACCTGTGACACAGGTCAGGACCCTCCCGCTGACTACATACATCATAAAAACAGGGTATGACGTGACTTGAGGCTTAGGTAATGTTAGGTATAATTTTAAAAACTTTATGCTAATTTTAGGTAACTGTTGCAGAGTACATTTACATATTAAATATTTCATTTATATATATATATACCTACACATATAAAAGTACATATATTACACAAATTACACAATATAAACAATACTAATCAATGTTCGATAGCTTAGTGTCTTCTATATGTGGATTTCTCAATAAAAATCGGATATTCAGATTATAGAATATTATTCATAGTAAAATACAGATCTATTAAAATTATGTGCGTACGTTGTCTTTTTTGAATTCGAATGCAAGAGGGAGAGTGAATCTATATAAATCAAAATGAGTGAATGTAGTAACGAATGGGTACGAAATGAATGTATGAATGGACGATGACGATGGACCGATTGCAGCTTCTCTCTTCGAAGGATAGATGGCGTTAACAATCAATATTTAGTAAGAGTATGTGTATATTTGTGTGTGTGTGCGTGTGTGTGTGTATGTGTGAGAATGAGTGAACACTAATGGGGGCCTGCACATCAAGAAGCGGAATTAACTAGTGGGCAACCTGGACAGACAAACTACTTAACAGGAACTCATAGATAAAGCTAGTTTTTACGGGTTTATGCACGAAACTTTATTTATTTATTGACGTCTTTCGAAGGTAGCTCGACAAATTAAATAAAAGTTTTATTCTGACGATGAAGCCTGTAAAGGCTACGAAACGTCAATAAATAAATAAAGTTTCGTGCATTAACCCGTAAAAACTAGTTTTATTTAATGAGTGATGTGCGTGAAAACCTAAGAAACAAATAGGAACACATAGGTTTGGGGTCAGGCTATTTCTTCTTAGGAACTATCTAAAACGGTATAGACACTATATATGTTTTAATGTATATGTTCGATTCTTTTAAGTAATAAATGCTACTGGAATTAAATATCTATGTGTTTATTTTATTTTGTTAATAAATTAACATCACCTTTTATTGGTCATCACAAAAACAAAATTCCAGTTCTCTTTGAAGGTTGCGAATGCCTCGTGAGAAGTGATGCACAAAGGCCATCGATAACCCATACCGCACATTGTTAGTAAGTAGGTCAACGGCGCACTTTCCATCGACACCTTTCGGTGCGGACTTTTTATGTAGCAGGCTTCAATATAATAATAGGGTATTTGACAGTATTAAAAATAAAGTGCCAATTGTTAGCATCTGTATGAATATTGGCAGGAGTTTTTATTATTTTTACAGAAAAAATATTCATAATTTTACCAAAAACCCACGATAAACATAATAGTTTTCTTGTCTATTGTCACGTGACCCAAAACGCTTGGGATTGGTGGAGCCTAAAATGACGTCACACGCAAGTAAACTTCCGGATAAAGTGACATTTGATTGTATGGTTTGACGTTATAGTGACATTCGTGTGACGGCACACACCAGTGAGACAGCATATTGTCCAGAGATACGTTTTTCGCGGCAACTTGAAAATAGAGTTTTTGATTTGGTTTTTTTTACCGAAATACACAACAAAATGATGAATATCTAATAATAATAATTTTTATGGACTCTATAAACATTAGTAAATAACGTGAGATCGTTTTCTAAAACTTGTCAAAAACCCTGTTACGGGTGATATTAACATAAACATTATACCCGAGACACTAATGCTGGAACTCAAGATTATCTCAATCTATGTTCGTACCATGGTTTTTACCCAGCCCATACATTACCAACACATGAAAGTGGCCCTTGTCTCGACCATATGGTGATAAAATCTAGCTCAACATATCTTACAATTGTCATAAAACGCCGCTTACCGATCATTCCGCTGTCATACTAACCTTAAATTTATCGCTGCCTAAAATGAATCATAAACTAGTAAAATCTAAGTTAAACATAAAGAAACTCGAATATTTTGCATTTGTGCAAGCTTGACTTTGCCCCAGTTTTTCAATCGACGGACGCAAATGCATCTTTGGTGTATTTAATCCATAATGTCGAACAAGCAGTATTACATAATAATACGTCTGTAGTTGCTTCAAATAAACAATATCAAAATATCAAGCCTTGGATAACCCCGGGTATTATTCGATGTATAAGACACAGGGATAAACTTCATATGAGGACAAAAAATATCCCGATAACCTCACTTAACTAGTTATTTACAAGAGATACAGGAATTTCTGCAATAATCTCTTGAAAAAATTAAAAGCAAGTTATGAAAACAATTAACTACTTAAAGCAGGCAAGGATAGCAAAAGCCTTTGGAGACATATTAAAAATTTCACCTATACTTCAAAAAGGCATGAATCGTGTTCGAGTTTACTACTAACCCATCCTTCGCCGCTTATATCAGCCAATTATATTAATAACTATTTTATTAATATGGGAAAAGACCTTGCAGAACGCCACCAACCACTAAATGTATTTTCACAGTCACTTACCACTAGTAGGAATAGTTTGGTTATGTCAGATACCGACCAACAAGAAATTTTACATATTTAAAAGATGTCAGTGCTGTCGGCTTTGATAACATTAGTAATAAAATCCTCAAAACTTTTAAGCATATTTTAGTATCACCGTTAACACACATTTTTCAAATCTGCCTTTCGCAGGGTATTTTCCTACAATATTTAGAAGAAGCAGAAGTTACTCCTGTCTATAAATCTGGATGTAAAGATCAAGTGAATAACTATAGACCAATATCAGTGCTTCCCTCCTTATGAAAAGTATTAGAAAAAATATTAACAAAAGGCTTATTGACTACCTGGAAAAAATATCTATTTGTCA